GCTGGCCCTAACCCTGATCCTAACGCTGGCCCTAACCCTGATCCTAATCCTGAACCTAAACCTGATCCTAATCCTGAACCGAACCCTAATCCTAAATGTAACACGAAACCTAATCCTACTACTAACCCTAATCCTATCCCTAAAGCTAACCCTAATGCTAACCCTAACCCTAACCCTGACCGTAATCCTAATCCTAACCCTATCCCTCGTGCTAACCCTGACGCTAACCATGATCCTAATCCTAATCCTAAACCTAAACCTAATCCTAACACTAACCCTAATGCTAACACTAACCCTAACACTAACCCAAGCCCTAATGCTAACCCTAGCCGTAACGCTAAGTCATCAATCTGTTCATTTGTGCGTGTTTGTTTGTGTGTTGCAGGTTTCTGCGGCGTAACCCCGGGGGAAATCGTCTGATGCTCTCGGCTGGCGAGGAACTTGAGTGGTCATCTTTTCGGGCAGGGCACCGCCTTCGGTTTTGCCAGGATGTCAGATGCCCCCGCGGGTGTGTGAGCCCCAGGCCAGTGCCGGTCGAAGCCTGAAAGTGGGGGGGCGGGGGGGGGGGGGGGGGGTGTGGTGGTGGTTTGGAAGCAGTGTGGGGGTTCGGTAAGGAGTGAGGACGAGAGCCAGCTGGAGAGCGATGGGATTGTTCTGCCATGGTCACATAGGATAAATGGCAGTTAATGAGGAGTGGATTACTGCTTGCTGCTGCGACCTATTGCTGCTGTTGTGTGGACCTCTCTCAGACTCGCTGCCCCCCATCTCCAAGCCTCGAGCTGGCCAGCGCTCACGATGGTTAGCGTTTGGAAGTTTGTACGGAATTGCCGTCAGCTGGAGCTGCATCGGTTGATCTTGTTGCTGATTGCGTTCAGTCTGATCTCTATGTGCTTCTTGGCCTACTACGTGACAAACAGCCCAAAGATTAAGGAGGCTCTGCCGCTCCCAATTAGTGACTGCAACAACCAACACAGGACATCGCTGCCATCACAGTCTCTCAGGCGATTTGTGCCTGCAGTTGACACATCAAGGACCGACCCTGTGGTCCTAGTTTTCGCTGAAAGTATTTATTCCCAACTAGGTCAAGAAATAGTGGCTATTTTGGAGTCTAGCCGCTTCAAATATAGGATAGAAATAGCCCCTGGGAAAGGGGATGTGCCAACCTTAACGGACAAAGATCGGGGTCGCTATGCCCTCATTGTTTATGAAAATGTACTCAAGTATGTGAACCTGGATGCCTGGAACAGGGAGCTGCTGGATAAATACTGTATAGAGTACAGCGTCGGAATCATTGGCTTCTTCAAAGCCAACGAGAACAGCTTGCTTAGCGCTCAGCTCAAGGGTTTCCCTCTGTACCTGCACTCCAACCTCGGCCTAAAGGACTATCACATCAACCCCAACGCCCCGCTGCTTTATGTGACGCGGGCCAATGAGGTGGAGCAGGGGCCGTTACCCGGAGATGACTGGACGGTCTTCCAGTCCAATCACAGCACCTACGAGCCAGTTCTCTTGGCCAGCACTAAGTCGGCAGAGTTTATCCCCCACCTGAGCACGCACAAAGCACTGCACGCAACCGTGGTCCAGGACCTCGGGTTGCACGATGGCATCCAGAGAGTCTTCTTTGGGAACAACCTCAACTTCTGGCTCCACAAGCTGATTTTCGTGGATGCGATTGCCTACCTTACAGGCAAGCGCCTATGCTTGCCCCTGGACCGTTACCTCCTCGTGGACATTGACGACATCTTTGTGGGGAAGGAAGGGACCAGAATGAAAGTTGCGGATGTCGAGGTAAGCAACTGTGCTGTCTCTTCACGCGATCGAGGAGCAAGGTAACACAGGAGGAGGCCATTCAGCTCCCATTCCTGTGCTGGTTTTGCGAATGAGCTTTCAAAATTGTCTTCTCCTCATTGTCGTACCTATAACTTTCTTCTTCAAATATTTGTCCAATCCTGTTTCCAAATGTTGTTGTTGGATTTGCTTCCAGCTTATTTTCATGCAATGTACTCCAGATCACAACAATTTGCTGTGTTTTTAAAAAAAAGCATTCTCCTCTGATTTTCTGAATCTTTTGCCAACTACCTTTAATAGTTAAAACTGATTTCAAGTTGTCGTTTGGGAGCACAGGGCTTGACCAATGCTGAGAAAAACACATTTTGTGGTGCACTTACAAATACTGGAAGCTGCATGTATTAAGGGGCTTGTTCTTTGCTAACGAAAAGAATGTCCACAAAGTGTATCATTTTCAATTCAACAAAACAAGTGACAGTCATTCGTTAGTTCATTGCTCAGTGTAATGCCCTGTTCAGAGTCAACTTGCCCGGTTTATAATTTAAACAAAGTCTGGCTGTTAACTGCCAATTGTCATTAACTGGTGCATTTTCCATGGCAGTGGCTCTTCAAATTGGAGTTCACTTGTCATCCAATCAGCAATCTCCTCTCATTCAGTGTAAATGTTGTTTCAGTATTTCTTCTGAATTGAACTGACAAGCATAAGGAGAAAATCTCCAAGAAAGTGCAACGTTTTTATCGGCAATGCTTGTTTCACCTTCTTGGTCTGCTGAAGTAGAATTTGTACTCTCGGTCTCATGGTATTGGTCAAAGAACAATGCCAGTCAGGCTAGCAGACCCATTCTCGATGTGGTTTGCAGGAATTTCCAAACTATTGCTTGTTTTCGGGAATATGGAATTATGCATTGAACACATTTTAGATTCAGCTTAAGTATTGAAAATGAAACTCTGAGCATTAAAAACCCATCATATTGTTATGTGATCATTTTAAATAAGTGTTTTGAAATGAGATTCTTTGCAAGAGCACTGCACATGGAGTGACTGTATTATCTTCCTTTTGGGGGGTGGCATGGTGGCTCATTGGTTAGCACTGCTGCCTCACAGCACCAGTGACCCAGGTTCAATTCTAGCCTCAGGCGACTGTCTATGTGGAGTTGGCACATTCTCCCAGTGTCCGCATGGGTTTCCTCCAGATGCTCCAGTTTCCTCCCACAGTCCAAAGATGTGCAGGGTAGGGTGGATTGGCCATGCTAAATTGTCCCATAATGTTCAGGGATGTGCAGGCTACATGGTTTGTCCCTGGGAAATGTAGGAGTACAGGGATAGAGTGGAGGGACTGGGTCTGAGTGGGATGTTCTTCAGAGGATTGGTGTGAACTTGACACACCAAATGGCCTCTTTCTACACTGTGTAGGGATTCTATGATTCTAACATGCTTTGTTTAGGAACTTGTGTTGCATTTAAGTTGATGGATGCAGATATACTTTGAATTGCAATGGTGCAGGAGGCAGACTCACACCAAATGAACACTTCTTGCAATCATTAGACTTAATATGGAAGACTTCCAATTACATAGCTTTTCTTATCATAATGTCACGGTCAAAAATTGAAGGGAATTGATATCACGGCAGTTAGCTTGTAATAACGTTCGGCTTGTCACCTGCCAACGTTCTCCTCAGACTCCTTGGTACCCTCTATAGACCTGAAGAATATTAACCCCTTAATAATCGAGGAAAGGCCAGAACTGCTACAGAGAATGGAAAGGTTAACGAGATTGGCTTTTAGCAAATTATTTGTCATGGGTAGGTTAGTAGAGCCATCTGCAACTTAGACTATCCGCAGCCATCATTTTTAAATGTTTGATCTTGGGTTCATGCATTCCAGTTGGAAGAAACAGTAGGAGGTGATGGATCCTGAGAACCTTCAGTCACTCCTCAGTTGTGGACTTGTTCTGAGTTTGATGTATATGAGCCTGCTTACTATAGTTCCCCACTGTGTTTGTTTGGCCAAGGTTCCAGAAAAGTAAGCAAAGCTGTGACAAGAGCTGGGAGCCAGGATTGCATCATGGAACAGGCCTTTTAAAACTTTGGGAATGAAATCTGTTACACACATAGGAAGTAGTGTCATCTCTATAGAGAGCTGTGATGCAAAATTTACAACATCTTTGAGACAGTGGCCATGACGGCCCTCAATATGAGTGGCATTTTCTGAAGTGTGGACAGGCTGACACAGTTCAAAATACTGAGTACACACTAGTAGCTGACACTTTTATCTCACACGTTTGTCTAAAATGGAAGCAATTCTCATTTGTCATGGAATTTTTTTTTCAACATCCCATCTTTGTCGAACATAAAAGCAGCCAGTGAAGTATTTCTCACTGAAGAAGATATATTTTTCAGAGGAGCAGATGTGGCTTTCAATCTTAGAATCGTACAGCACAGAAGGGAGGGCATTTGGCCCATCTGTCTCTGTTGTCACTTCCATGAGCCATTCAATTAGTACCATTACCCTGCTCTTCCCAATAGCACTTCTCATTTTATATGTGTATTGCTGTGTCCTCCTCAATCTTCATCACCCCCAATCCCCAAGGCCAGTTTACAAAAACTCGTTTGTGTTTAAAAGGCAATTATTTGAAACAATTAGATTAGGGTGCAGTAGCAAATGGATATTGGGAAGTTCCTACTTCTATTGAAAAGCATTGTTTGACACAAAGTTCCTGTTTAGAATTGATTTTAAAAAATAATGACTTGGAACTACGAATATAAATACCAGGCATTGTCCCAGTGTAACCCGTCCTCAGGCAGGCTTCCCAGAGAATTCTTTAATGTATAACTCATTTAAAATTATTGTCAACATTGTGCTCTGCAGAATGGATGCTGATGGCAAAGTCAATAAAAAAACAAGCTGGAATGTGAAGCTGACCTATTGGTGACTGTGTAACCGCATGAAAAGACCTTTCTAAAGTTTTTTAGGGAAGGAAATCTGCCATTCCTACCTGGTCTGACCTACAGCAATGTGGTTGACTCCTAACATCCCTGTGGGCAATCAGGGATGGATATGAAATGTTGCCCAGCAAATGATAAGAACATACTGGAAGCACAGGTTTGGCTGGGAACCTTTTGCAACCTCATTTTGAAACTACAAATGGAGGCGATGTAATTTCTTGGAAAATGGAAAGTGGAAGTGAAAAGCTGGTGTAGAGGGACATTCCATCAAATCTTAATTGTTTGCAGCAGCTGCTGCCTTCTCTGCTACTTCTCTGTTTGTTGGTCTGTCTTCATTTCTCTTCACTTCTTTTAAAGTTTCTTTTACTTCTGTCTTTTCTGATTGCTCCCTTTCGACAGAGGTTTCGTTCACCTAACGTTCTCTTCTTTCTATGCAATGCTGTCGTCTCCTCTTTATTAAACTAATTTAACAAAAGTGTTTAATAAATTTTTTAAGAGCGGAGATACTGCTAACAATTACACTGATGTTTGCAGTGATCAGGAGCTTCCCTTCCCGGTGAATCCTAGATATTGCTGGCATGCTGCCAACCCTAACTAACAGAGCAGCTGGAATGGTCTTTCTAAAATCCCAATTTTGATTTAAATAGCGAGGAAGCCTTAACACGGGGTTAGCATAATGTTGGAGATGGGATGCTTTCAGGGCAATGGAGTAGGATTTGATTGAATAGAGGATGAGGGTTGGGCCGTCAGGCAGTCAGTTTCACATAGAGGAACGGACAAAGTGAGCACCCCAAGACGAGCAGTCAGCATCACCAAGAGGAACGGGTGAGGTTGGGACTCTGAGACAGGCAGTCAGCATCATGTAGAGATATATAGTTGTACGTGTATGTGTGTGTGTGTGTACGTGTGTACGTGTATGTGTGTGTGTGTGTACGTGTGTACGTGTGTGTGTGTGTACGTGTACGTGTGTACGTGTGTGTGTGCGTGTGTGTGCGCGAGCGTGGCCATGCCGCACTATAGGTTGCTTCATACACTGCAGTTTACACTGAAATCTGTCTGTTGGCCTCAGCTATACCTTGTGGCTGTAAATGCGAAGTAAGCTCAAGGGGCCAAATGACCCACTCGTGCTCTTGTCTCTGGCTTACTCGCCACTTTCTTTGACCCAATATTGTCGGTCTGATGGAGATGTTTGGATGTGGGACTCAGAGAAAGAAAGAGGCTGCTTTAGGAAGAAATGTCGATGAGATTTATCATAGCTGAGTTGTCCCAACACCTAGTTGACCAGCAGCCTGAGCCCCTTGTAGCTGTGAGAAGTCTGCAGGGTTGATCTGGTGCAGAATTGCAGTAAGAGGGTTTGACAACAATAATTAAGCATGACGAAAGCTCGGAGGACATTCTCTGTGTAGTTGTCGCCTGTGCTTGGATTTCTGTCTTTGCACATTATTGCTAATGTGGCTTAAATGAGTGAAGAAAAAGACTGTGGAAGTTTGTTGTGTGAGGTTTAATTGCTCTTTCCCTCTGTGAGAAATGAAACGACAAACACTTGAATGAATCCTGTATTTACATTAGCAGCAACTGCAAATGTGCTGACCATTTGTATGCCACTTTCGCAGACTTTTGCTAATTGAGTAAAATTGTATTCCCACTCCTCCCCCCACCCCAACTACACGCACATGTATACGCACAGGTATACATGCACACGTATACACACAAATACACATGCATACTCCTGCATGTACACACATGCTCACATAAGCACACACGCACATGTACGCGTGCACACGTGCACACACAAAATAATCACTGGGTTGTTACTGGTTCCCTTTGCAGGCCTAAGTAGGTTGCATTGTTTTGTAGTTTCCTTGCCTTTTTCTCAAGCCTCTCTCAGCCCGTGTCCCCCTGCGACCCACCCAGCTGATTATTCCTTCTTCCTCTTCTGTTTTTACCATCAGTTCCTCCTCCTTCAGTTGTTGCTGCGATTAAGCTGTTGTGTGGTTCCTGTCACGTAGATAGTCATAATGGACTCGAAACGTTAACTCTGTTTCTGTCTCCACAA